GTCCATGTGAACACCGCTGGGCCCATTCCAACCATTCTGGTTGGAACAGGCTCTGGAACCCACCACTGCTACAGAAGTTCTGGCAGGGTTGTCTGGAGACCTCATTATTTTGTGTCTATAGAAGGTTCCCCCAGAGGAACTGCATGCCTTCCAGAGTGGTATTTCTTGTCATTATTCTGTGCAGAAGAACAGAAATGGAGGTGTTTTTGCAGAAGAAACGGTAGAGAATAGTCATTCTCCTTCCTAGGAAGAGGGGGCAGAGAGGTCCTTGTTCAAGAGTCAAGCTCACCTTGTTCAAGCTCACCTTGTTCAAGAGTCAAGTTCACCCTCTGTTGAAAATGCCCTATGGCCCACAGAAGTTTGTGGAATAAGAGAAACTAGTCCTTGGCACAAATTCAGTTTCCCTCCTTCGTTAGGAGATGAGATAAAATATACTATTCATTATTAAATGTATGCTGGTTGTATATCATTTCTAGTTTTTAATCTGCAACATTATGTAAGTGCATACAATTTTAGGAATACTCATTTGCCCTTGCTACCCTACCCAAAGTCATAGTATCTATTAAAATTTCTTAGCTTAATTTATTCCTTACATGCAGCAGTTAAAACTTAGCTTTGTACCTATGAATAACTGGGCAGCAGAATAATTTGAAAATAGTTAATGGGGATACTATTTATTGGGAATAGTCTTTGAAAATTATTTGCAAAATGTATTTTTGATCACTTAAAATTAGGTTTTAATGACTGCTCTCTTTTTTTTCAGCGAGATCGGAACCGAGCAGAACTTCTTGATTTCTTGAACTCTACTTTTTAGTGAAAAAGCTGTTAAATGAGGACCAATAAGTGTGTCAGCTTATTCAGTCATCTTGCTCCTTTAAAGCACCAAATACAAGCTCAGGGTGAAGCATGAAAAAACATCTTGATGCATGAGGAGTTGAAATTGTCCCACTATGACGATAATTGACAACTCCTTTAAAAGGGTAAAATAATTGGTGACATTTTATCAACAAAGAGCCATATTGAAGTTGAAAAGAACCTAATCACACTAGGACAAAGGCATAATCATTCATTAAAATGAAAGGATGCGTTGGAATTTCAGCCTACTGTGAATATCCAAATTGCATGCAGAATGCAACTTCACCATCCGTTGTCCTTGGTCATTTTATTGATTAAAGCCAAATAATAGCAGAGAAGTTCTTAAAGAAGAATCAGACCCGTGTATATAGATATTTTTAGTATTGAGAATATTTGCAAACAGCAACATACCTCTTTCTGCGTAGTGTACATTCTCTAAAGCATTGAGTAGATTTTTTAAAATCATTTTCTTTTGTAAAGTATTTTCTTTTTAAAGTTAGTAAAAAAAAACACTATAATTTCAGTTTATTTAATGAGGTGCTAGGCATTTAATTTTGAAACTGGCGTGGTACAACTATTAAATGAACATTATGAAATTAGCTTACTGCCCACTGCTGCTTGGTTTTTTCCTTATTTTGGATAGGATGATCCTTGATCAGTATTGTGGCCTTCAGAGAGGCATGTATCAAAGTCCATATTATGAAAATCTCAGTGGGCTACCAATTTCAGTTGAGTGTAATGGTATGGCTAACAGAGTCCTCAAAAGACTGGTTGTGGCATATAACCTCACGGTGTGTGAAGTTCATTTTATGAAAAAAAATCCAATAAAACATACTGCTTCCTATATAAATTGTTTTAGTGAAGTATTAACAAGTGTGAAGAAAGCATTAGGATTAGAAAGATACTGTTGAGAACTACAACTACCACATAAGTTCATGATGGTGAACTTATGGCACACGTGCAACAGGTGGCACACGGAGCCCTCTCTGTAGGCATGTGAGCCATCGCCCAGCTCAGCTCCACTGTGCATGTGCGAGCACCTCCCACCGGCCAGCTGAGTTTTGGGTCTCTGCTGTACATGCTGCACGGGAGTGGGAGGAGCCAGGGGGTGCGGCATGCTCCCCTGCACCCCCTTTTTGGTTTCAGGAGGCTTCAGGGAGGCCTGCCAGGCCCAAAACGGGTTGCGGGGAGGGGGGTGAGGCACCAGGGCGGAGTGCATTGCATTATGGGTGTGGGTTTTTCTTTCCCCAAAGCCCTTAATAAGAAAAATGTCTAATGACTTAACAGTTTGTCTTCATTTTTGCATTTTTTAAATATTACACCTTAGGTGACTTGTTTACCACAAGAACATTTAAAACAGTAAACACCTTTACAATTTAAAGCAATTTATTGAAATAATGTTAAATAAGTATTGTTTAATTTATCAATAATTAAAACATAGTTATTATTCACTCTCCAAATGGTCATTGAAAGAGCTTTGTGGAGGTTTTAAATATAATCAAGATTGGGGACATCTAGATCTCAGGGTGGGGGAGAGATAATTCCACAGATGGAATAGTTACCATAAACATCTGCTTCTAAGTTCCTATCCTCTAACTTTTTAAAGAGGGGGATTCACAGCATTTTTCTTAGATTGCTTGAATAGCAGAAGCAGATTCTATTTATAGAGATAGTTCATTACACAACCTAAACCCAAACTACGCATTGCTTTTTAGATCATTAGCAACTTCTTTAATTTGAATCAAGAGCAGTGCTTGTAATATTGGTGTTACATTGTTGAAGGAGCTCTCACCTGATTACTTATTCCAAACAGTCTTTTGATAGTGTTCAAAGTCATGACTAAGAAGAGTGCATTGTAGAAATGCAGTAGTAAAGTACGGGGGTGAGCAATTGGGTAAAGACCCATCTTTTTTATCCGTGTCACCCCAAATCAATGGATGACTCTCTCCCCTGAATGGTTTAATATAGATAATAAGATAGGGAAAGGGGGGAGGAGAACTCTGAGCCCCATAAATCAGTGGCCAAGAGCTAAATCACTTCCAATTTCTAATGCAGAAAAGTGCTTCCAACTCCCTCACATGTATGCCAGCCTGACCTCTTGATTGCTGGTGTCAGATGTTGCTGAGGGATATAATAGAACCAGAAGATAACACTGACCAAATCCTGATAGAGGTAATTGAAAAACCAATATAGTTTCTTTCCCATAACTGTTCTGAACTCTAATTGAAAACAAGAGAATGTAACTTTTCCAAGGCCCATTGGAACTGCAGCCGCACAATCTTCTCTAACACCATCTCTAAAGTTGAAGGAGGATGTTGATTGCTTCAAGTCCTGCCATTTACTCATTTGTCTGCCTTAAGGAGCCAACGAAGGGCATAGGTTAAGCCCAGATGTAGAGAGCATATTCTGTTAATCACGCCACTTTCTTAACACTCCACAAGATCAGAATTCCACGTAGACTTGCAGGAAGTTGTCCAATTAATTTCATTTGATTCTACTAAGCTGGGAATAAGATCTGAGCAAATACAAATTGATCTGTGAAATGTTTTGCAAACGTAACACAGCAATATTGTCAGGCCTGCAGCCATGTTCCTTTTGGATCTTTGGCCTGCCACACTTTCTATGATTCTACTCTGGTGTTTCTATGGTGGGGAATTCAGAGGGGGGATAGTACAGAGTAAAATGCTATGTAGCCAGAATAAAATTCCTTTCTAGAATGCCAACGTCATCCTTTGTCTTGCCATCTCTGCCCCTGACCGGAACTGGATGGGTGGAACTGCCAGCATGGCAGTGGAAGATTGGACTATGTGATGGACTTGTGGATGTCGGGGCAAGACCAATAACTTTTATGTGGGGGGGGGGGAACCGAGGACCTTCAGATTCGGGTTTTCCAAGATGTGCCAACATGGCGCTCTTAATAAATTGGAACTTTGAGCAATACTTTGCCTTGGACTCTGATTTAATTTTGGATGCTATTTGGAATGCTGACAAATATATACATTGGGAAACAATCTTGCCCCCATCTGTGCAGATTGCATTAAAGAGTACTGCTAGATGTCAGTTTACTGATGCAATGATGTTCCAGTGCTGGTTGCCATGTGTGAGGGAAAATGGAATATGCTTATTTATGAATGCAATGTTTATAGTCCCCTACTTGTGTATCATTCTGGACACCCAGTAAAAGCAGTGTAACAAGACGAATAAAACAGCCATCCAGGGAAAAGAAACAATTCA